TTGCTGGCCGAGGTTAAACCACAACACAGGGTTTGGCCTGTGAATTAGGGGATTCCCGAGGATTAGTTGTTCTGCAGAGGTCAGCCAGGCATTCTTTAGTTTTGAAGGCAACATGCAGCTTTGAAGAAATCAACACTTTTGGTGTTGATTCTTCTGAAAAAGCAGCACCGACAGGGCCAGTCATGTAGAACGTGCTCATCTTCCATGGCAGGTGTTAGACCTTATTGCAGTCTTCATCCCATCTTCTCCAGAAGACATCACCACCATTATGAACAGTCCAATGACCCGACGACAGGCACATTATGAGACCTTGAAAATATTTTTACACTTGAGCCAACTGCCAGCACTTCATTGTGTGCTGAAGTTTAATGAAGTATGCAAGTGTAGTCTGTTATCATTCCCTGGCAGGGGAGAAGAGTTGAGGCCAAACCCCACAGTGCCAAACCTGGACAATGAGAGTTGAGTCCAAAGAATGTTCTTGAGCAAATGTGTGAAACTACTTGGGAGATAATCTGCTGGATAATGCAGGAGAATACCCTGCTGGAAAAGATCTTGCCTCTCAAAAACTTTCAGTAGTCTAAAACTAATTACTGACCAGTACCCTCATGCTGCTCATTTGGGAGCATTCAGGACACCTTTCAGCTTTCCAGACCTTGAACAACTCTTTTTTTCAGATACTTTCTGCGGTCAAAATACCGAGAGGCAAAACCATCCCAATGACTTACCTAATACAGGAGTGGAATAAATTCAATGTGTACCACAAAAGGATAGATACAAATAGCGTTACCTGAGCTATGGAAGCTTGAGGGTTTCCTACCAGATTTTTAAATGTGCGCTTGGACACCCATTTCAGTTGATGGAGGAAGGAATTGGCATACGTGATTTGTCGGAAAACTGCTTTTGTTTTCTTTTTATTTCCCAATGAAATATTCTCTAATACTGCTTTTGTTTCTTGGTAGTAGGCAGAGTTGGAGTATTTTTCTGCTAACTTCTCAGCCAAGGTTTTATCACATTCAGTGCGTTCTTCAGTGCTCTCTGCTGAAAGGATTAGAAAGAAATACAACCATTTCTGTAAGGGATGGGAAGATTCTTTAGGAGAGTTATGTTAGGGTGGGAGAGTTACTAACGAGCCAGAAGAAGAATTAATATGCACATTTAGTTCTGTGTTTTTCCGTGTTGTCCTGGCCACCTTCTGGCAAAGTAAAAGTTATGATAATTTCACTCAGCTCGGGGTTTCATACCTGTGTTAGTGTCATCCGTCTTGCTCATTGCCACCGCAGTGGAATCTCCATTAATGACATCCAGGAAAAAGTCAGCAGGGTTGTTGTATGGCTCACACTCATAGCCTGCAGTGACAGGATTACAAGCCCTAAACGGTGGTTATGCCGCTGGCAGAAGGCTGTGCATGGCCATCAGAGACTCATCAAATGGTTTGGGTTGGGAGGGACCTTAAAGACCATCTGGTTCCAACCCCCCTGCCATGGGCAGGGACACCTCCCACCAGACCAGGTTGCTCACAGCCCCATCCAACCTGGCCTTGAACACTTCCAGGGATGGGGCAGCCACAGCTTCTCTGGGCAACCTCTGCCCCTGCCTCACCACCCTCACCGTGGAGAATTTCTTCCTAATATCTCATCCAATTCTTCCCTCTTCCAGTTTAAAGCCATTGCCCCTTGTCCTATCACTCCATGCCTTTGTGAAAAGAACATGAACTCAGCCACGCCACTATTCCCGTTGAGCAACCTGCACCATAAGCATTGCAGACTTCCAAAGGTCCGTGCTTACCCAAGAGAAGAAGGTCACTGCCGGACAGCTCTGTCACTGAAAGCAAGGTGCCAGCTGGCAATGTGCCTTTCTCAACCCTCGCCTGGGCTTTGTCTAACTCAGATGCACCCAGGAACAGTTGATTAGAGGTTAGCCCTATAATCCAAACCCACATACGGGTCAAGAGCTGAAACACCAAGAGAAATGTTTAACCTCTTAAAATCATGGGCTTGCTAGTACACCCTTGGCCCAATTCTGATTGAGCGCTATTGGCATTTGATTCACGTTAGTGCAAACTGAAGATGTTGCTGCGGTTGGTCTTGCTGTAAGTTGTGATTACCGATAGACTGGAAGTACTCGATGGCGTGTTGAGCGGGCCCGTGGTACAGCACTCTCCCCGCGGCCAGCAGCATCAGGTTGTCAAACAGTCGGAATATGGAGTACCGAGGTTGGTGGATGGAGAAGATGATTGTTTTTCCTTGTTTTGCCATCCTGAATGTGAAGTGAAGAACGACGGAGGTGTTAGCTTTGCAAGTCGATTCAGCATTTTGATAAGAGAATGCGCAAGTTTAGTCAAGCCTTGGTTAAGTTTGATTAACTCTGTGTGCCAGAGAGGGGAGGGGGAAGGAGAAAAAAAAAAAAAAAAGAAAATATTTAGATCATATTGATGGTGTCTGTGTGAGAAAAGAAAGGTCCCTCTCGCTGGGAATGTTGTTGGAGGCAAAGGTCCTGGGGAGATTTTCATGCAAACAGAAAGCTCTGGAGAGAGACGTTTCAGTCCTCTTTGCTTGTTGTAAATGCAAAATGATGTAAAATTTGCAAATAGAGAGTGTCTTGTGCTTGTTTTCCCCAAAACAGGCCTGAGATTTTGTGATGGAGAAACAGCTAGCTGTGTTCTAACTACCATCCATATTAAAACTGATCACCTTACCAGACTGTGCAACAGGCATTTTTAATCACTTTTCTGGCCCAGGCAGACATGAAAATAAATTAAGCTGTCCGTGACAGCTGTCATGGACAAATTGCAGTCCTGGCATGCATACACTTTGTGCAAGGTTCTTTATGTACTGCTGTGAGCAGCTGCTTTGGAGTGAGAGAATTCCTACAGCCTTTTTCCTCCCCCCCTTTGCAGCCTTGGCTCGCTGGTAAACAACTACATTTCTGATTTCCCTGTTTGCTCATTCTAACTTTAATTTAAGGCAAATACAACTGAAATGTAGCGGAGTTGAGTGGTGAAAACAGGAAGCTGTTTCCAAGGCCATCACCTTTTTAGCAGCAGTAGAACCGCGTTAGCAGTGCTGGCATCAAGTCCCGTCGTTGGCTCATCCAAAAACAAGATGGCAGGATCCGTGATGAGCTCCATCCCAATATTGGTTCTTTTCCGCTCTCCTCCGGACACGCCGCGAGCAAACTGGGTGCCAACCTGCCTCAGAACAAGAAACTTGTCTCTGGCCTGATAACAAATCCTTGAGTGAAGAGCATCGTAACCAATGTGGCAGCATTGAGGAAGAGTTGTACGAAATTTTGACCCTACTCTCAGGTACAGATGTAGATGTCACCTCACACGTAGACCGTTCCTTAACATTAGTATTTCTTTTTTCTCCAACCACAGACTGCCTTTCCCCTTCCCCACAATGTAATAGCATATGGCCGTGTCAGCGCAGAGTCTGTACAGACCACCATACAGAAACGTTATTATTTATTATATTACTGAAATAGCCTGTTTAATTTTGCTTTTTTTTTTAATCTGCCATGCTGACCCATTTGGTTAATTAAATAAATCACTTCTTAATATTTTTTCATGATTTAAGCACCGTATTTACACGCCTTACCTTGGAATCTGCCACTTTGCTCAAACCCAGTTCCTTGATGATCTGAATCACTCGTTCATTTTTTTCCCGTTCCGTCACTGACTTTGGCAAACGGAGTGCTGCTGAGAACTTCAAATTTTCTCTTACAGTCAAGGTTCCCATCACCACATCATCCTTCATTAAAAAAAACCACCCAAAATACATAGATACTTGGTGGTCACTTAGCATGTTCTATTTTTGGCCCTGAGAACTGCATCTCTGTGTGTTTTATGTTGACCTAGTGTGCAGAGGGACAGTAGCAACTGCCAGAACATGAGGTAAGGTGCATCTTCAATGCCTGTGTCACAGCAGCAAGTTGATTTCATGCACGTGATGGTATTTGCCTTTATTCGTAAAGCAATGCAGTATAGGAACGTTGTGCGTGATATCAAAATGCGTAAATAGCAAAGTGTTCAAAACGATGCCTCACGTATTCTTACCTTAGCCGGTTTTTTTGGAGGTGTTGAGTGAGACACTGAAGGGCTGAAGGGACCTAAGGAGCAGCTATGGCTCAGGTCACGGTCGCTGCGCATTTGTTAAAGCAGCCTCAGCAGGTAAGGGCAGGGAGAATCACAGAATCACGGAATCGATTTGGTTGGAAGAGACCTCTGGGATCATCGAGTCCAACCTTTGCCCTAACACCACCATGTCAACTAGACCATGGCACTAAGTGCCACGTCCAGGCTTTTCTTAAACTCCTTCAGGAATGATGACTCCACCACCTCCCTGGGCAGCCCAAGGAGGACGAAAAAGAGAGATTGAGTCCATGTGGGGCAGGGCAAAGATTTTCTGAGCTTGTTTTGGCAAAGGAGAGTGGGTTTTTTAGAGATTGACTCCTTGTCTCTTGCAAAAGGAATCTATCAGAGATAGGAAGTTCAGAGAGTTATGTGTGTTTTGAGAGACTTCCTTTCTATAACGCGCTGACCGTACTTTTATAAGGGGTTTTCATAGGTGCACCTCTTCAGATCTTGATGAACTGCAAGCGTGCTACTGAGCATGGGTAGTGGGGAGGGGAAAGAAATGAAAAGAGGATTGTGGTTTTCCTTCTTTTGTCTTTCACATGTCTTTCTCCCCAGCCCACCCTGGCAGGAGAAAGATTTTCTCAGAACGGGACTTAGTGACATTGTCCCTGGGCAAGCAGAGGTACAAGCTGCATATTACCAGAAAGATTCATAGTTGGAAACTACCCCTACGGCTGTTCCCCCAAATGGAGAACAAGGAGGGATCCAAAGCGTCCGCTCCTGTTAACTGTAGAGCATTAAGGAAAGAGACTCAAATACAAAGCAGAGTCTCTTTCCCAGTGAGGGTGGATGTGTGGAGAGTTGCTACTGCACCAGCCTCGACTCTTGGATCAAGGCAAGGTATTTGCAACACGGCAGCAACTTCTTACAGCTGCAGTCAGAAGGGGACAGTAAAGTCAACAGAGTGATAAAAATTACTTACCTGTACGACATATCCAGAGGTACATTTAAAGTTGGCAGGCTGAGGAGCTCCATTGATCAAAATGTCACCGGAAAGCCCATGGGGATCCTTCCTTGCGGCTAAAATGTCGAGCAGACTAGGAGAAAAGTTGGTTACTTTGTCAGTTGAGCATGCAGGAGGTAAGCTCACTGAACCACAACCCCCTTTCGGACAAACAGCTAGTAAAAGCATCACATTTGCTATTTAGAAAACCCCCAGCGACTTTCAGGAGCTGAGTTTCTTTTGTTCTGGTTTCCTAAGGAAATACGATCTGTGCAATTCCTTAGTGCATTTGTGTCCATTCGTTCAGTAATACGAGTTTAACCTAGAATGATACGTAAACATCATGTATCATGAAAGTGTGGACTTAAATTTAAATACATCTTTGTCATGTAAGCTGATTGTCTTTTTTTGAATTGAGATATTTCTCAGAAACCAGTGAGATTTGCACAAACCTAAATGAAAACAAAGTCTTTCCCTGAAAGCGTTGTCCATTACTGCTAAACATGTGCAGGTTCATTTTTCTCCTTGGTGTAATTTCTGTGTAGGGCAAAGAGGGCACTTACGAAGATTTACCACTGCCGGTGGGTCCCAAAATTGCATTTAGTCCTGGCCTCATGATGCCACTGTAAGACAAAACAGATAGGTTTTACAAAATAGATAGGGTGGTTTTAACTCTCTTACTGTTTCAACTGGTAGGCTAGTGTAAATTATTTGTCGAACTACCTTCTGCATCCCATTAATTTGGGAATTAATGAGGCTGCCTGATCACAAACAATATTTATGATCAAACTCCACCTTCATTTTTACTCCTAATTCAAGAACGAATCTTCACATAATGAAGACAACACAGAAACTAGAGTAAAATGTAGCAAAACCTGTATGCATGCTTTTTCCCGATGGCTCTCTAGAAGCGAGGCACACACTTCCTTTAACCGCATTCAGCTCTAAAGGTATTATTCTCCTAGCAGGGAGCAAAACGGTCCCTGTAGCCAGAACATACTGGGGATTTGTCTGTACTTACAGAAGCTGCAGTTGATAATTTCTCCAGATCTGATTTTAAGCAACATGAAACTCAAAAGCCGGTTAGAAAAGATTTTTAAGTATTTGAGGAAAAAACCCTATAGAAATTATATTTTTTTATCAGTTTTACTGGTGCACGTGTAGGTGTCGCTGCTGTTTCTCCTGACTAGCCCCTAAAATCTGCGCTCAACAAGCTTTGATGTACACAAGGATCACGCTGCCCGTACAAATGCCTGTCTGGATGTTATGATACCAGGTTTTTCTGGAACTGCAGTCTGGTACCAGTTGTTATCAGCAATCCAGGTATCAGCGACCCGAATACTTGGCTGTAGGTCTGGCCCAGTATGGCTGTCCTTAGGGTCTAATGACATGAGACCTAGGAGGCTTGGTTTAGCTCTACTGGATGCGTATTTGTTGCCATCAATTTACCTCCTTGTGAAGGAAATTTGTGGTTCCGCAGACTAAGAAGCATATACATTATACGTATGTTATGCTGTGTTATACGTGATTTTAACAAAAAAACTCGATATGTGACAAAAGAAGTGCAAATGTTACATTTTCTAAAAGAGATAAGCGTAATGTGTGTTAAACTTTGGTCTTTCAAGCTCCAAGAGAGGCCTTCCGCTCTCATCATTGTAAATGACCAATGTCAGTCAATTGAATTAAGTTACCGTAACGTACAGTAGGAAAGATTGTAAGAGCTCATATTTAGGTGTTGAAATTGTATAGGCAAAGAGCAGGACAGAGCTAGCGACACAAAAGGGTGGATATTTTTGATAGAAATATGACCTGAAAGTCACGGGTGACTTGGAATAGCATGTTGTAGGAGTACTTGTCACCTAGCTAAAGTACTGAACTGTGAATTGGCAAACTTTATGCATAAATTATTGGACAAAGACCATAGCAATGTGATTCCTTTACTGCAGTAGTGCTCAATGTTGAAACAAAAAAACCCCAAAAAGAGAAAACTACATCTCTTTGAAGACCTAACCCTCATTTATATTACTGTCTTAAATATTTTAAGTTAAAACCCCCAAAACTAACCTTCCCAAAGGCTACCTTAGGGAAGGAGATGTTAGCATTGAGGACAGGCCGTTGGTATCTCAGTTAAACACCGCGGCACGTTGGGAGACGTAGGGTAAAACCCGTGCTGATAGCGGCCAGGAAGGCTGTCCCTCCCTGCGGCCGGGGGAAATGGCACAGCGTCAGCTCTGTCTTGTACAGGCTCAGCTCTAACAACTGAGGACCACTGGGGCCTAGCAGGAAGCTTAAGCCCAGTTGATAGCAAAAAAGAAGCAACCATACATACAATTTTTCTAAATCTTGATCAAATTCTGCATATTGTGCTTCATGGCTCAGTGACATGAGTGCACTCAACTGTGCAGAGAGAAATAAAACATACACATACTCTAAACAGATGTTTAAATACGTACTTGACGTCTCTCAAAACTTCTTTATCAGCTGGTTTTTGGTAACAGAGGAACCCAGTCTTCAACTTCACATGGTAGCAGATGTTGTGGAAAGTTAGTACGCTTCCTCCCCTGCCCGCTAAGTCCGGAGAGGCCTGCTTTCTGCTGGGGATGCCATTTGTATTCAAGTCTGACATCTGAATACATAGGTGTGGCTGGCTTTCTGCCATTTTTCCTCTATAAATGAAAGAACAGGGGAAGATTTGATTAGGTATAGAGAGGAAAGATGTGTCTGTGGGGTCCAGTGTTCAGCACTGGACCTACTGTGGGCCTTGCAGATATCCGTTTAGGTCTCCCTCTTTCAGATAGGAAGTTTGGGTCCTGTGGGCTCAGACCTTGAGACGACACGGAGCTGGTAGGGAGCTGGCTCTACCATACTGCTTCACACCGTGTGCGGTGTTAGGGAGATAGAAGAGCCTCTTTCCACCCTGATGGTCTGTTGTGGTGGGTTGACCTTGGCTGGCCACCAAATGCCCACCCAGCCGCCCTCTCAGCTGAATCTCTGCTCCAGCACCTGGACCACTTCCTCCCCTGCCTTACTTCACTGGCCTTGCTGTCTGCAGAGCTGTTTCTTCCACGTTTTCTCACTCCTCTTTTCCCCTTTCTTAGACAGGTTTTCAGAGAGGCACTACCAGCATCAACAATGTGCTCGGCTTTGGCCAGTGATGGGTGGAAGGTGACTATGTCCTGGCCAGGGGCACCAACTCCATCTATTCTCTTGGTACGAGGAAGTCAGTACCTCTCGCAGCGGGCACTAGCAAGACATTATGTTCTTTCTGGAGGACTGCCCCTGGCCGAGAGGTCTGTACTTGAACTGCGCATTTGTTGGAAACCACAGGTGCAACAGGTAACTCACTCAAGGATTGGCTCAAAATTAATTGAGGTCCACAAGGACCTGGCTTTCTGCCCATCCACTTCATCAGACTTCTTTCTAGTTTTGAATGTGCTTAGAGTTTGCCCATTAGATACTCTTTTAAAGGGGTGGTTTGAAAGTAAAAATACTCCTCCTACCTCTACTGCTCCTGCTCAATGGTAACAAAATCTAAAAATTGTTGGTTTTTGGTTTTTTTAATCAAAATAATTGTGCCAAGGGTATAGGAACATGGAAACTAACACTGCTGCCAAGTAATTCTCGTCTTTTGATTTGCTCTTCTTATAAAAACTAGAAGATAGTTGCAGAATAATTAAAGTTATCTCACTTCCCTTGTCAGCCAGGCTCCTGCCTGTGAGCCCCCCACCTCCGTCGTGGGGACATCCCCAGCTGTCCCTTGTGCATGCAGACCTCAGTCCCCTTTCTGCTTCCGAAGTGGCACAGGGTCATTTAGGTGGGAGGCAGGATCTGGTCTCTCTCTATATATATCATGTTGATTCATCAGCGTCTAATTACTTTAATTGTCACTAGGGGAGATGTTAGTAATGCAATAGTTCATGGGATCCAAATGGGAGGTGAGCAGCGAGGAGCTCTGGGATCATCAGCCCTGCAACTTAGCATAGTTACACTGCTTGCGGCAAGGACGAAGCAAATTAGAAGGCCTTTTCAGACATGTTGAATGAATTTGAGAGCAGTTAATAAAACGAGCATCGCAAAAAAAGCCGTTTAATCTAACGCAGCCATACAGTCCCGTAAAAAACCAAGCCCTTATCTTGCCAGGTTGCTAAGGTTGCTTGACAGACAGCTGAACTCGCCTTTGTGGCTATCAGCGCAGTGAAACCACTGGAAGCCCTTTCAGCAACAGGCCTATCTGCATGTAAAGGCTGGTTCAGCTGTCTCCCAGCGATGCTATCCCAAATCCAGCGCAAGGTTGCACCTTCTGACAAAACTGCAGTCTTCTGCGCTGCCAAAAATATAAGGTCTTAATGTTTCAGTAATCAGTCATCTTGGCACGATTTTCCTACAATGAAAAGAAACCGTGTTTCAAATAGAATTATAATGGGACTAGCTTTAATTTAAGCTAAAATGGATTTTGGGTAAAAGCTGAACATTAATTAAATGTGCAACATTTAAAGTCTGGAGGTCTTTTGTTGATAAACTGCCTACAATCTTCTCTGCATCTACCATGGCTCATCTGCTCATCTTGGAGGGCAGGTAATTTTATAAGGCTATTTATACAAAGGTAGTTTGTGGGCTAGTCTGGCCGGACATCGATCATTGCCATTTGAAAGGGTGCTCTGGTAAAGCAGAGGTGGGCGTTCAGAACCGCAGTGGGAACTTTTCCCTTCAAGCCTCGCCACACGCTGAGCAGATGTTTGCCAGCGTGCCGAGCAAGGTACCCAACACTCGCTGCAGAGTCAACGCCAAGGACAGACATTACAACGTCCTTTCGGCTGTTGGGGAACCAGCACCATGATGTGAGCGCAGAATTTTTCAGAAAGCAGTGTGACTCTGACCTTGCTATATCACTGCATCTATAAGGTATCTAGGTCAGTATTTTACTTGATCAGATTTATTTTTTCTTCTCAGTTTGATGCTTCAGTATTACTGATGTAATGTTATGAGCAAACAGTGGAGAGTGAGGTGGAGTCTGACCTCAGGCATTAGCAACCAAGTAGTTAAAGTCCTTGTTTTGTTTGGGTTTGTTGGGTTTTTTTCCCAAAGACCAGCATAAAAACCTAACTCAGCACTTGCACTGAAATTTCAGAAATGCTCTTTAGAAAACAAACTTTTCGCTTACGAATGTAACAGATTCTGTCTTCCAGACTGAACTTGACTGGCAGACAATAAGCCCAGGATCAGAAAGTATTTTCCTAAACACAGGATCACACTACTTGCACAGAGTCGTTCTTAAGACCAGACAGTACGTCGAAGTTAAATCTAATTTACCATTTGAGTCATGATTATACACATCTTTCAAAGAACTTTGCAGAGGCTAGATAAGTAAATCAGCTACGAGAAGGATTAGCCATATCCGTAGCGGACAGTCCCTCAGTGGCTATTTAATACAGCTGTTGGCAGGAGACCTCCGGTTCGGGAAGGTCCAAATCTGCCAGAAAAAAATTGCGTTCTTTGATATTGTCCCTTAAGAATGCCTTGGGTACTGGTAGCTATGAGTAGAGGTTGGATTTGTGTCGAGGTGGAGGTGTGGTGTAAATCGGCCTGGCTCCTCACCCCTGCCGTGCGCTCGTGCTCCTCGCAGTGACGGGGTGGGATGCTCTGGGTGGGGGACATGGATTTGTCTACCTGCTGGCTGCCCCTTTGGGCATTAGCCATCTATTTGTGGGCATACACCGTTTATCAAAGTAAAAAACTTCTGTATTTCAGATGTTTAGGTTAATACTGAAAATAGCATTTTACACTTTCAGAGCTACTAGAATTTGTTGCAGAAAGAAACTGCAGCGTAGTCATTCGCTTAAAACTCAAATGGTTATTTATCCGTTGCTCCATGAAATCTGTGTCAGCTATCTCTCTCTTCTCAAAGGAGCGTAACCCTTGCAAGGACTCCGGCACAGCAGCTCCTTGGGATGACAAAATGAGGGAGTTCTGGCCAGGCAGGTGGGAAAGCCCATAAATCAGCTCCTCTGCCACCAACTCATGATCGGGGCAGCCGCGGCTTTGCCTGGGTGACTCGTGGAACCCTCCGAGAGTGGCGATTTGGATCTCGGCTAATGGCGAAAGATGAAGTGCTAACAGCAGAAATAATGCCTGTGTGCTAGAGTTAGGCTTTTAATTTGCTTTTCTTTCTTTGGAGACCTTTTTTTCACTGTGGGGTGAGTACTTGCAGTGAGATAAACAGTCGGATATTTTACAAAGCAACTTTGCCATTTCTGATCTAGCAATAAACTTCACCATAGGAATACAGGGGCATGCTCCTTTACAGCTAATAAAATCGTCAGCTGTTTGCAATTGCTCCTTAGGAACGGATTATTTTAAATATTGCTTTAGGCCTTGTTTAAAAAAAATGTTTATGACATTTAATGTGATGTACAGCCATGAAACATTTTAAATCAGAGCATGTGCAGGACAAAGAAACAACCATGATGAATGTTAACCAAATCAATTTCTATGCAAACTGAAATTCTTTAAATGAAGTTTCCTAGAATTCGTTGCCAATGACCGACAAATATCTGCTTTAGATCAGAAATGAGCAGGAGATTCAATGACAATAGGTACTGCCTGCTCTATTCAGAAATAGTCGTTAGTACGATAAAGTGTTTCACATCAGCCCTGGGTGTAATACATGATTTTTGCATCAGCTAAATATAAAATCTATGAACTCTTTGGGAATTTTAAAAATTTCATTTGTTTTCCTGAATCTTTCTACAATATTTTTATTGCCACTGATTTCAGCATCAATTTCAGTTCAAGCCTAATAGAAAAACCTTTTCTTCAGAGATATTTAGTCTCAGAAAATTTTGTCAGGAGGCAAAGTACCAGATCTTGAGATTTAACCTGTTCTTAATGGCAAAACGAAACTACTTTCTTAAAAACTGTCATAAAATCTCTTTGCCCACTGCTTCGATGCATGGAAAATGAAACCCTCAGTACGTGTATTCTTCTGAGCCTTGTAAAATACAAAAATCTCATTTAAAAAACATATGAAGGGGCAGTGAACAAAAGCATAAACCAACAACAAGTTGTACTACGAAGTTCCATCGACTTAAACGTACTTGAACCACAGCAATACCATACCTGGGGTCTTTCAAGCAATTTTAGTAAACCTCTTTGTATGCCTTAAGATATATCGTCTGTATAAAAAGCTAAGTAACATTCATTCCTGCCCCAGCTCCTGCAAAGCTTTTGGCACTGGATTTGCAGTTCAAATAGAAAAACCACTAGTATAGGAGTGGTAGTAAGATTTTGAATGGCAAAATTCAGAAGTGTATTTTAACTGATTTTTTAAAATGCAGGCAATTATTCAAAGTATTTTATCTCTGTAGAGAACAAGCATTGAAATTACTTAAAGAGGAATAGTTTGAGAGACACAAGGAGCTTTCAGCAGAGCTTTCTAAAGGAAACTGGCTCAAACCCTTAAAAAAAACCAGCCTGTTTTCTTTTTTTTGAATACCTGAACCTGCCAGAGAAAACACAATTAAGTGAGCTACTATTTATCTTATTTTTAATCGGTCCAAATTGAGTCTTGCAACCTGCAAGCTGAAACAGTACAGTATGTACTACACTGTAGATTTTTGGCTATATAGAAGTTCACAGAAGTTGTAAGTATACCTTTTTTTT